ATTATATATGATTATATATGATTATATTTGATTATATTTGATTATATTTGAATACTACGATCAGCTATGTTCTTTCTCTTTATGATTACATCTATTTTTATCAATCAGTCTCATCTTACAGGGTACATGATACGAGTAGAATATAGAACGTTGTGTGTTATATTGAAAACCAAGTATACTCACTCAGACTGTGAATTTGTTATATTCAATCCTGTTGATTAACCCTTTGCGCAAGGGAACTGCGTAGATCATGTTATAATCAAATGAAAATTAAAGAAATCAGTAGGAACAGGGTTAATTTGATTATATTATCTGACTGAAGAGGTACATGTTTGACTGTAGTTTAGTGGTTCGTGCACTGGACTTTCAGTCTGGATATTAAGGGTTCAAGTCCCCATCTGATGCATATATGTGGTGTTCATCTTTCATACAACGGCAGATGACCGTTTCTTTGACTGGATAGATTCATGTAATGACTCTAGTTCAGTGGTTCGTGCACTGGACTTTCAATCAAAAGACTTAGGGTTCAAGTCCCCACCAGGTGCATTGCGTGTGGTGTTCATCCTCCACTCGATGGATAGATTCATGTAAGATTCAGCTAATTTGCGTCTTCATCAGCCCGAAGTTGCAATTAGCGGGATATTTAGTCGGGATTGTTATCCCAAGATATCTTGGGATAGTTTGCAAAATATCCAGCTGTTTGTCCGGTGCGTCTTCACCAGACCGAAGACTCGCACTATGCGCGAACGCTGAGCAAAATATCTCGAGCTAATTTCTCAAGGTCAAGTTTCAAGTCTCAAGGTTGAATCTCGAGCTGATGAAGATGCGATTTGTAACTTCAGGATTATTTCCCAAATCAGAAATAGCAGGCTATTTGGCAATCTCGAGCTGATGAAGTTGCGCCTACTTTGGAGGATCATGAGTCATTTTGTTTTTGTTGAAATGATTTTGTGATTCAACACCATTCCTATGGAGATGTAGGTATTACTTTCTAAACTCGGTTGAATATTTCCTTGCTGCCAAACAGTACGAGCAGAAGATTGACTGACCATCATTTTTTTATAGAATGATTAAAAAAAGGAAAATATTAATAGCATATGATATTGTCAGGGCTCATATACATGTATTTTAGAGCCTTTATCAGGCAGGGATGTAATCATGAATCGTGAGTTTTAGACATTTATTATTGTGCAAGACTTTTCCTCATGACCAAGTGTATCTTCTATTTTGAAAAAGGGGTCATAGTGAATTTAATCATGAAATATCAAAGTACTATTTACTTGTTGATCCCTTGTTATATGTGTTTATATTTGATGGTTCAAAAGTATGAATGAAACACTGTTAATAGTAGAAAAAACATGAATGCTTAAAGGTACTATTTAATATTTAATAGTGAAAAATATATTACTTTTGATAGTAGAATTGTCTTTTCCACAGAGCTTGAAAAACAAGTGGAGGGGGTTGAAAGTATAGTGATTAAAGGTATAGACCAGTTCTGGTCATGCAATTGCATTGTGAAAGAAACATGGAATTGATCAGAAAAGGTTGATCATCAAGCATGTAAGTATTGGTGTGTACTGCAAGGTTCTGGAATCATCACATGATAAGAAATTTGGCCCAGTCTTGGTAAAGTTACAAGCACTGTACACAGAAAGATGTATATGGGACTACGTGATATCTATCCAGGCCGGATCGATATGATAGTTTACCTAATATATCAAATAGTAGGCGGTTTCCCGGCAAAATTTGTATCATGTATTAGTCAAAACATATTCTTTCACATGATTGGTAATAAGAGCTTCCATTTCATTTTTCGAGAGGGGGAGATTTCCAAAACTGGTCTATACCTTTAATACTTCATGTATAGAAAATATTTTTCATTTTCAAAGTCTCTTGATGTCTTGAAGTATCTGCAAATTGCATTTTGTGGAGAAATATTTAATTTGCTATTACGTCTGTCTGAAGCCAGAGGGGGTTGGTTAACTCATCCATTGCCATAGGCTTAATACATGGGATACCGGGTTCCAGGGGTCAACGACCTTCTGGCTCCAAACAGACGGTTTCTTCTTTCTTTTCTAAGTATATCTCGCTATTCATTACACATAGAATCTTTGAAATAATGTATATACATTAAGTAGTACCTTTAATTGATACTGTGTATGATGAACCAGCAGTTTGAACAATATATGCAAAGTACTACTAAATACAGCAGTCAACAAGTTACCTACAGTGTAATATTTTTACATCATAATGTGTTTTGAAGAATATATTTACGTGTCGATGATAACTTTGTGATTCTAATCTATAATCAAGGCTTGTATTTGATTAATCTGGGGCCCGTTTCACAAAGACTTTTTTCAATGACAAATTAGAATAGTCGGTGACAAATCTGCTGATGACCAATCAGAAGCAAGGATTTCAGTAGCTTATAACAAAAACTGTCATTTGTCACTGATGACAAGTTTTGTGAAATGGGGCCCAGGTGTTTGATGGTGTTTTAAATGTCATGCTTGTCTCACTTTATTATTACCTGGAAATGTATTAACCAGTTAACTACCGAATTGTCTAAAATCCCTATAGGCGTAACACAGGGATGAACCGGTTCCGGCAAGCAACGGGTTAAGAATTACACCTGTGGTTGTAAATGAGCAAGATAGATGAAATGCAATTTTCTTTCTTCTCCAGAAATCGTGATACATTTATCTGAAATTTGTGGAGCATTTTTATGTTAGTAGAATCGCCAGACTTGTTCATTTTACTCATTGAAAATTAGCAAGAGAATGTTTTGTTTTGAATCAGTGTGTAGATGTATTAGTAGGAAAAAAAATTGATGTTTTGAAAGTAGTCATAATACTTTTTATTGTTTTATTTGCTGGTTTAAGAACGTCCCAGGTTTTCATTTGTTATTAAGTATTTGGAGATACCATACTGACAGTGTATTGTAGGTATGTACATTTACTTGGACATGTATTAACTTAATATCTTCTGTGTACAAGATAATAGTACAACATGTAGACACTTACTGGTCCTATGTGTGGTATATATTACAAGTTCAAGTGAACGGCCAGTGTATGGAATAATCTGTGAAAGTTGAATGTAAGATTTGAAACAATGAAGTGTGACAAAAAAGTAATAAAATATATGTATAAAGAATGCCATGCTCTGTGTTGGATGGCTTTTCTTCAGAGAGGGAGAGAGAGAGAGAGAGAGAAAGAGAGAGAGAGAAAGAGAGGGAGAATGAGGATGATAGAGAGAGAAAGAGTGAGTATTATTGAAAGAGTGAGAGAAAGAAAGGAGAGAGGGAAAGAGCAAGAGAAAGAAAGAAAGAGAGAAAAAAGGATCGAAACAGAGTAGGAAATGAGAAGAGACGAAAGAAAGAAATCGACCGATGAAGAGATATACAAAAAGAGGGAAAAAGACCAAAAAGTTTGGAAGTGAAAGTGAACGGCGAGTGGGAGAGCAGGAGAGAGACAGAGACAGAGAAAGAGAGAGAGGGGAGAGGGAAACTAAGGAACAGTAAATTCTGAGATGGTGAAGAGAGGGAGAGGGAGAAAGAGAGAGTGAGAGCATGGAGAAAGGAAGAAATTGAGAAAGAGAACGGGCCTATCAATCCAATGATTTTTCTTAATACATGTACATGATCATTGTTAATAATAAGAATGATAATAATAATTGGTTCTTGTATAGCGCTCATGTCAGTCAGATTTGACTCTCCTGGCGCTCTAGCATTTCAAGGAATAAGTTCCTACCAGGTACCCATTTACTTCACCTGGGTGGAGGTCGAGAGTGAAAGATAGAGAGAGAGGAAAGAAAGAAGAGGACCAAAAGAGAGAGAGAGAGAGAGAAAGAATGAGAATGATTGAAAGAGTGAGAGAAAGAAAGGAGAGAGGGAAAGAGAGCAAGAGAAAGAAAGAAAGAGAAAGAGAGAGAGAGATAGAAACAAAAATCAGAGAAAGGGATTAAGAAAGTGAAACAATGAATAGAAGACAGGGGAGAAGGTAAACTATACAAGAGAAACAAGAGACAAAGAGAAATATAACAAAAATTCAAAACCAAACTATTGTGTTTCGTAAAATTTAATGACATGAATTCAAAAGTCATAATACATAAATACTACAAACAGTATACAGTATAATTGCAAGTTCTACATAATGACCTATCAGTGTTTTTATTGGTCTGTAATCACAATCGAAGACAAACTTTAACCTGTTTGATGGAAACGATGCAAACAACATACCGGTAGGTACATGTAGGACATGGTTCTTAGTGAAACCATTTTGGTGTTGAAAATTGTACCTAAATGTTCATTTTCAGACAGAATAATTACAAGTTTTTCCTTAACTCTCCCAAACCTTTGGTTACTTTGCACCCTCAAAAGGGTCCACCTCATATAATATCTGCAACCCCCTCTCCCCCCCCCCCTCCCAAAAAAATAAATAAATAAAAATAAAAATAAATAAATAAATACATAAAAATAAAATAAAAATAAAATAAATAAATAAAATAAATAAATTAAAAAAAAAAAAAAAAAAAATTATATATATACAGGATATTGTTTATACCAGTAAATAAAATTCTAAAAAATACAAAAAAGAATCCTATTGACGGGCCTGTAATCACAAGATTTTCATTCATGGCCCACTTACAAACCTGACCAAAATCATATTACATAACAAATTAACAACGCATGCCAGTGAAACAACATGAAAATGCTTTTTAGGTCCAAGTGCCAAAAATGAGTTCACTGCATCATTACATTGCTATAACTAACACAAATACATGTACCATGTTTAATATTAATATTTACTGCAAAAAAGGTGACACATTAACTAAAAGTGCAAATATACATGTAATTCAAAATGTCCATCGTTAGGGATGTGGTTGCTATCAACACTTTAAAAAATTAGAATTACATAAGCCAATGAAAACTAATAGAATTGAATAGAATTGTTTTGCAGTGTTTCATGTACAGGATTACATTGTATAAGATATCAGAAAATTAACGAAACCATGATTTAACTGGCCCCTATAGCCTTACATATACATACTCGAAATACTACATTATACGGTATGCATGTATATGGGACTAAGCGACATGTGCGCGATATCTAGCAGGTCCAAATAGATATAATAATTTACCAAATACACACTGTATATCAATACGTAGGCGGTTCCCCGGTCAAATTTGTATCATCACGTATTAGTCAAAGCATTCTTTCACATGATTGGTAATAAGAGCTTCCATTTCATTTTTTTTGAGAGGGGGGCATTTCCAAAACTGGTCTTTACCTTTAAGGTACGCACAATGTGAATTGCATGTACACTAATTGTTGCTAGATAGGACACGCATGGCTTGCCCTACCGAACATTTTGACTCTTGAAACACAATTATTTTTGACAAGTGAATGAACAAAATTATATCGACATGCAGGGTTACATTAGAAAAAAATGAATTATGGTCTTAAGTTTTGGATTCATCAAAGTATAACAAATTTACTTGATCTTTGTGTGTAAATGTATACAGGTAAATTTTGTGTTAACACTGATTGTTACATGCACATGCTGGAATGTATGTAAACATAAAGTTTTTTAAGACATCATACGTCACAATAAAATTGAATTTTTGAGATAGTATTCTTTGACAATGATTTTGATTTTGAAAACCATGTCAGGAAAAGAAGCAATTATACACATTTACATTGTAATGTGAATACAGTATACATGTACATGCGATTCTGGGCAAAACTAGGCATTTTTTATTTTATACTTGAACATATTTTGAGTAACACATGTATTGTGTAAACAGAAGAAAACAGATACTGCATTTTGTACACTTACAACGGTCTATGGAAAATAGAACTACAAGAATTTGACTAAACTTGACATTAAAAGTAAAAAAAATTGCACTATTCGGCAATGCACACACACAGGTGTACATGCATGTTTATCATCTTTGGACCAAACATTACACTCGAGGCTCGTTTGGAAAAAACGCAGCGTCTATTCTAATGACAACGTAAGGTGTAATTGACTTCCCTTTTCTGTATATTATACTAGTTATACAAAGCTCAGTGAATACGCCCAAATCCTTTGTTGTGCAGATGCCATTCATCGACACCTGGAACAGTTGTGGCAATTTTTGGGGCGGTAATTTATTGTGAATTATCTGAACAAGTCTTTGGATGTAAAATAACAGCCATCATGTCATAAAAAAAAACATTGGTTTGACTTTCTAAACAACTCCAAAGTTCTCCACTCAAATACGAGACATCTTAAAACAAATATTGCATTCAACTAGTCTTGGGGCTTGTCTATTTGTGGCAAGAGTTGGTCAATAGATGACTAAAATAAGTGTGGGTCTATCGCATCAAACTTTCCTTGAGTATCCGTAGGGAGATCACCAGTTGAACGCAGCCACATATTGCAAATGGGAGTGTTCATATTTTGTTTAAAGGATTGTGAGAGTACCTTAATTCATATTGTAAAAAAAAGATTGACATTTAGGGAGTGTTCGTATCCTTTGAATAAACGTAATCTTCCACTTAAGAAGTAGTGAGAAAACCCATACAAATAATCTGTATGAAGAACACAGCCAGTTATAAATGGGAGTTCTTATATTAAAAACAAACAAACAATTCTTTCAACAAATTAATGGTAGCATCCATACAAAACCTTGTATGAACGCAGACATAAATAAAACATGGGAGCGTTCATATGAACTAAACTAGCTACATAAATCAAGTTCTTCTTTGAGAGCAGTCATACATGAGTAGCAAACTGTATGAACACAACCATAGATTACACAAGGGAATGTCTATATATGAAATAAATAACTCATTCTTCAGACGGTTAGCAGCATCATAGACGTGGGGCGAGTTGTACAAGCGCTATTCTTCTGTCCTAGCTCCGTGCAGAGGAAAAGCGTAGAAAAAACGAAATAAGACTGTAAAAGAACAAGAAAGAGGAGAGAAATTATTAAGACTGGTTGGTATAAAAGTTTTAAAACGTCAATCAAATTTCAGTCGGGATGCTGTGCAAATGTCTAGTGTCTGAAATTAATCCATAAAAATGATAATAATAATAATAGGCATTTCTATAGCGCCGTCTATCTAGATAATTCTATTCCAAGGCGCATTTATTATTATCCCTTTAGCCTAGCTGCCGTTTATACAGCGCTCCAGCATTTCAAGGAATTAATTCCTGCCAGGTACCCATAATAATTGTGTTTATTCGAGGAAGCCCCAACAGATTCGGTGCTATTCTTCCCAAGGGCCCTGCTATTGACACTAGTACCGCGAATACGATGTTCGACAGGAGATGGCGCCCTTCCACCCATGCTGCGCAGGTCAGCACATGCGCAGAAACAATATTGGGGTAGACGATAAGACACGGTTTCTCACGGCTTCCATAGAGAATGTACAGCAGTGTCAACTGATTCCGTACATTACTAAACTATTGTTCAGGTTTCATGAACTCCCTCAATAATTTTTAGTATGATATGGAAAGTGTGTTGGTTCCGAAACTGATTTCTATCGGTCTTTCCAGTTCTCAAGTCTCAACCCTATGGCCTGGATTCAAAAAGAAGGTTTGTAGATAAACCTACGGTATGTTTATGTGCGTCATATGACGTGTTTTGAAGCGTTTCAGTCAAAGGTTTGTAAAAACGCGTCAAAACGCAACAAAACACGTCATATGACGCACATAAACCTAGGTTTGTTGACAAACCTCCTTTGTGAATTTGGGCCATTGTATTTGTATGGGAATCGTAAGTGCCTTTGCCAAAATACCCATGGCATGTGCTGCCCTCTATGGCCAAATACAATAGTTGCAGTAGCGAGAATTATTGATACCCCAGCAATTAATACCAGGTACCAATCTACACAATAAAAACAGGAGGGTATTATTAGACTGGTTCAAGAATGCAGGCAATGGCAAACCTCTATTCAAGTCATGCGTTTTTGCTTTAATATGTTTTTCCATTGCGCCCGCATAGAGTAGCGGCTCCGGTGTGCGGCCGTCCAGTGCGAATTGCCGATTTTATTTTTTATGCAATTACTCGCAGAATGCTTCAATACCGTCAATGGAGAGTTCATATATTTAGTTATTAAATAGAAGGCACAAATAACGTAACTGACCCACAGCGTGGTCAGTACTGTCCACTTTAGAAGACGTAAAAGTTGCCCGGTGGGCGGCCGTGCGTAACCCGGTTTGCGGCACGCGTACGTCACAAAGCTTTATGCGCTACGTCACGATCAAAGCATACCAAATTACTACGGGTAACCCAAATTTTCATGTTTATCTGTTGCTACGGTAAATTTTTCAAGTTTTAAACAATTTCACCTTTTTACTGAATGGATCATCCCATACGGGGGTACGTACTACTAGAAACTATTGGGTCACAGCGGGTACACACATCAGCACACATACCATCATACACGATCCCGCATGTTATGTGTGTATTAACACCCCCCGCCGCAAACCAGAAAATCACGTAATTACGTGCCGGTTTGCGGCCACCCCATGCAACTGGCCATGCGGTGGCACAATCAAAATATCTGCGATAGGAGACAGACCACAGCCATCATACTTCCACAAAAACATCAAATTTCACCTCCAATCGGACAAATATCGGACAAATAGAGTTACAATATTGATCTAGTCATGCCTCGATCTCTTAACTTAAAAGTAAGCACCTGCTGGAATTTTCATCGCCGACTGGTGCCGTAGATTTCCGACATCGCTGACGGATACTCCGTACCGACAGGAGCATCTGCTACGGACGTTTTCGGCAGCGCAGAACTTACCGGGGAATCCACGGTAGGTTTCAATGATTATTATCGAGTCATTTTTATTTTATTTTGAAAAGTGATACCCCTGGCCGCAAACCGGGCTATGCCGCAAACCGGAGACTCTACTCTATGCAATTTTGGTGCAACAGCTACGCAAGTTGTGTGCAGCACTACGCAAGCTCCACGTGGCACCCTTGATCACGCATCTTGATAGAGGAAGAAAAGAAATAATTTTAAAAAACATCAAGAGAATGAGGAAGGAGATTGAGATTTCTTAGAAACAGAGACTGAGCAACATTTACCACTTTTCAGACAAAGAAACATGTACCATACGTACCTCGACTGTGGGCTATCAAAGTGTAGAAAAGGGTAACAGTCTCTTTTAATCTCAAATGATGCTGCATCCAATCTTCTTCTCCTTATATGGGTTAGTCACGCCAGGGAGGGGAATCCCCGTCAGAAGGTAGTCATTGCCAACATTCTGCTCACAGTAGTTCAATAGTCTGTAGTGAGAGAAAGAGAGAGAGGAGAGATAGAGACAGAAAGAGAGAGACAGAAAGAGAGACAGACAGCGAGAGAGAGAGAGAGAGAGACTTGTTAATATGGTAGGATACATGTATTCTGCAATTAGATCTAAGCCAATTTAAAGATAAATAGCACATAATTTTCTTTTAATATTGCCATCTGTCGGGGATGCATATCACTCTTGAATCTTCCTCTTCCATTTCCTTCGTTCTTCCTCTCGACTCTTTTCTTTCTTTGGCTTGCGCTTGGCTTCCTTTTCTCTCCTTCCTTTTTCTTTCCTTGTCTTTAAATTCACTTCATTCATTATCTCTTCTCCAATTTCTCTATCTTTAGTTTCTTTCCTTACCTTTGGCTTTAATTTCTTCCTTCTTTTTTTTAACCCAAAATGCCGTACCCCTACGCCCGTACCGTAATTAGTTGGCTAATGCCGGTGGATAACGACGCGAGTGCCGTGGGCGGCTGGGCCGAGTAAGCCCGGCGTCCATCATACCACTACCGCCACTCTCTCGTTTCTGTATCACAATAATTCAGCGTACTTACTCAGCGGCTACTTGGGAAAGTTTACATCTATCAATGTTTGCTTCTCTTCTCAGCTGATCCACAGTCTTTCTAAGAGTCATGTCGCTACCTCCACCTGACATTTTCAGTTTGTTTTCCTTCGAAAAATGATGCAAAATCTCTCGTTCTAAATTTTGGTCAACGCCCTTTTCTTTTAATTGTGCTACTTCTATCTAGCGCGCTACACATACATAAAACACGTATATATAAAGCTAGCACTGCAGCTAGACGGGCTGACTTTAGCAGCCAGATATTCAAGTCAATTAGTTTAACGCGGCCGACAGAGTTGCCAATCTAAGTGCAATTTAAAAAAGCAACAAATTGTTGTTGGATATTCTTTATTCGAAAGGCTCGAGCTCGAGTGCTAATCAAAAATTGAATATTGTTTTTACGGAAAGGGAAGGAGGAGAGGGAGCTAGCTAAGAAAGGTGATTCGAAAATCGGTAATTTTGTTAATAAATGCAGATAATATTGCGACTTCTGTTTGAGCTTAGAAAGTGTGAAGTTCTCAGTTTGTCCCCTCATAAATATCTCTCTGATCTTGGATCTTAGATATTGGATTGTTTTCCTCCTAAATACTCCGAAGAAGAGTTTTGACTGGAGGTGGTGATCACACATATAAACAGTCGCGTACGAAGCAGGGGGGGGGGGGGGGGTGAACCCCCCCCTTAAACCTTGTTTTATGTGTGTGTTTTAGAGGGGAAAAGTCCGCCTTCAATTTCTTTTTTAATTTATAAAAAAAATCAAAAGAAAAAAAAAATTGTCGAAATTTGGGTGACCCCAAAAAGCTGACCTTACCCCTGACCTGACCTTAGGCGCTATTCAAAATTCATCAAAATTTACCGGGAGCACCGGTAAATTTTTGTATTCAATTTTTCTCGAAAGCAGAACTGTTTTAGGGGCTAAATTTTCTAGTGCTACAATACAACCACAGGGGCATCCAAATATATCAAATTTGCAAACAATCATTATCCACCCAATTCTCAAAATTTCCCAAAACTTTGTATTACCTTTAAAAATACAAACCATCTTTACCCCTTTACTGCTTTTTTTTTTTGAGGGGGGGGGGGGTGCGTTTTTTTTTGTTTTGTTTGGGGGGGGGCATAATTTTCTAGATTTGTTTCTCACTTTTTTATAATTCATAAAATTCATAACTCGGGGGGGGGGGGGCTCCGAGCCCCCCTCACTTTTTTGAAAAAGAGAAATAGAAAGAAAGAATAGTGACCTGCCGGTGTCACAAGTGAGGTATTAAAATATGCTCATTTGACGGTAATTTATTGCCTAAAACCCCTGAACTTCTGGGTGCTCCCAAGCCAATTAGTAATGCTACGGTAACAAAGCTTCGTACGATCGATAATTTCGTACGAATCTCCCTGTTTTTCAATTGTCTTCCCGAATTTCCATTGTCAATGTTCGTACGGCGTTCGTAGTTCGTAATGGCATTTGTGACCCATTCCGCAGGTGTCACAAATAAGGTATCAAAATATGCTCATCTGACCGTAATTAAATGCCTAAAACCCCTGAGCTTCTGGGGGCTCCGCCCTTTGACCCCATTCAAATTTACGCTCCACTCGCTTCGCTTGTTACGTTCTACTTGATCGTAAATAATATTTGAAAAACGTTCCGCGGGGCGCCATGTAAAAAGTTAGAGTGGTTAAGATGCAGATTTGTTTTTTGCCCCCCCCCCAAAAAAAAAAACGTTTTTGCTCATTGCGCCACTGTATATATATATATATATATATATCTCACTCTCGATCTCTTCATAACCCTTTCTAGCTCATATCCACACTAATTCCCCCAATGCCTCTTTATCTTAATAACGTGCATCCCTATACCCCTCGATCGCCTCCCCCTCTCTCTCTCTCTTCTCTCTCTTTCTCTCTCTCTCTCTCTCTCTCTATTCTTTTCCTCAACTCGATCACTCTATTTTTATTTCCCACACACTCACTCTGACACAATTCTTTCCTGGGGGCGGCCGGGGGTACTCAAATAATTATTAAGACATACGGAGTGTGCCGCTTTAACGGGTCACTTTATTGACACCGAAAATCCCTTAACATGGGTCCCATTTTAAACAAAAATATCCCTAAACATGGGTCCGTTATTTTCAAAATATCAACATTTTCGGGTGTTCGCATGGCAAATTTGCATGGCAAACACCGGAAAATTGCGAAAAATGGGCTCTAGCCTACTTCGGAAAATATCCTCCAAAATGACGCTAATAAATGGGTAGGGGTTTCGAGGCTACAGCGGCACACCCCCGTCGAAACCAAATCTGAGTAGGCCTACTCCCCCCCCCCCCCCGGGCATCCCCCGGCACCCCCGGCACCCCCCCCCCCCCCACTCATGTTATTTAGGGTACGCATAATTATGCATGTTCCCTCCTTTTGAAAACACCCCTTAAGTCCGGTGTGTAAAGTCAATACGGGCTGGGCTTTTTGTGTACTATACGAGCCAGACTTTCGTGCGTAAAAAGTAACCCTTTACCGGACATTTTGGTAACACGCATGGTATCCCTCCGTTCACGGAGGGGGGGGGGGGGGGGGGGGGGGGGGGGGGGGGGCTCCCCCGGGCCACTTATCCAATCTCTTTCTCTCTCCTTCGCCCACCTAATCACTTATTCTCTCTCTCTCTCTCTCTCTCTGTCTGGGTAGATCGAAACCATTTTCTTTCTGAAAAAATATTTATATAAAAAAACCAGTAGAAAGACCCCACTTGCAACAATGAAACCCGTCACAAATACATATCAACTATAATGTGATAATGTGATAACTATACGTGCGATCATGCGAGGCATTCTTTCATTTCTGTTATTTACTCAACTTGATCACCTTCAACTATAGAATCCTGACGATGTTTTTTATTACTTCCTTGTTTGCCCTACATGTCGGTCTAGAACGGGGAGTCGACATTTGAGAACTTTCCTATATAATTTCTCAACTCGAGCAAGTTGTATCGGATTTGGCAAATTAGGTGATACCAATGCAATCGGAGCCGGACAGTCAACAGATGCGGCTGGAAGCTGGAATTGTTATTCAGCAGTTTACATGCACTTAGAACTATATCGTTAGACTTGTTAACCAGCAGTTTAAAGTTGATTATTCCTCAATCACTATATGCATCGAAACAACTCATTGTGCACCTAACTAAAGGCGGCGAATGACGTCATCTACCTGCACTTAAAGGCCCATGTAGATTATACACAAGACGTGAGTATAGTATACATTTTCATATCTTGGTGGAAAGGCTCTCGGCGGTCTCGCCTTCATTATTGAGGTTGGGACATTATTTACAGGCAGGGTGGTCCATATTAGAAGGCCCCCCCCCAAAAAAAAAAAAAAAAAAAAAAAAAAAAAAAATGAAATACGTTGAGTATAATCTGCATTTTGAAGTGAATATTGACTAAGAATCACCAGAAGAAATGTTTACTATAATTGTACCAAGATTGATAACTTTAATGAAATATGAACAAATATATTTTTTATTGATTCTCGTTTTAAGTTATGAAATCTACTGACCTAAAATGACCTTTGACCTCGGCTTTGTTACCCGGAATTCGTGTCATATGATTTGTGATACTTGATAACTTACAAGTTTCATTGAATTTGAGCAAACGCTTTTGAAACTATGCTAACAATTCAAAATCTTGATGTTGATACCACAACAAAGTCTAATTAGTTTGTTAACCTGAAATGACCTTTAACCTGGACTTCGTGACCTGAAATTCTACACAAATAATTGGGGATACTTGATAACCCTATAGTCCAAGTTTCACTGACTAAGAACATATACTCACAAAATAATACCATAAATTCAAAGACTTAACCTTAGGTTAATTTTTCGATATTGACGCCGCCGCCGTCGTCGCTGCCGCCGTCACCGGTAAAGCGGCGCCTATGTCTCGCTTTTTGCTACGCAGACGAGACAAAAATGAAAATGAAAAACAATAGTACTAATTAAAAGATATAATTATTTGTATTATTATCATGGTCATTAGTATTATTATCATTATCAGTACTAATATTATCATCACAATAACAATGATAACAGGGACGGATCCAGGGGGCAAAAAAAATTAGTGCTCATTACCCCCCCCCCCCCCTCCGCTTATTCAGCGGCCGGCTGAGCCGTTGCGAAATTTTCGGCCCGATTTTAAAATGTTAACCCCCCCCCCTTGAAAAAAACATGCGTACGCTACTGATTTCACCCCATATCATTGATACTGCTTACATCCTTCGGAGAGGTGTTTTGCCTACATATTCCCTCTCGACCAAGATGTACCTGGCAACTATGGAGAAATAACAACTGCATGCAGATGTATCAACCGCTATGACTACAAATTATTTTTTGTTTTATCAGTACATCGTGTTTTTCATGTGATATCGACTCATCCTACATTTCACTGTTAATACGGTTAAAGAAAATTTCTTTTTCAGTGTTGCCGTAAAGAATTGATAAGGATAACGGACAACATTTTGTTCATGAAAATGTTCTCTTCTTCCCAATCATGTTCACGTTGAGGTAATCATACTTATTGTTGGTGTTTATTGTTACATTGTGGAAACCAAAAGACGTTATGGAAAAATAAACAAATCATCTGTTTTATGTTGTTTCATTATACTAAGAATCACCTTTTTAAAGCGGAAAACACGTTCAAAATATAGGAGTTCACTCTCAAAAGAGTATTTTAAATAACTACTTTGCGTGCATTCTACTTCATGTGTAGTAGAATCAACTCTAAAACGAAGTGATCCCTCATTTTGAGTCCCGAAAGAGTGATTAGCCATTTCATGCTATGGTTGTATTAAAGAGCACCAACGGCAAAACGTTGCTCAAAGTCATTAACAATTGTTGCTAATATTGTTTATCCCTAAAGATTACAGCATGACACATACATGTACGTAAAGCATGGGAAGTTGCCACTTGGTACCTCATCCAAATAATACTCCCACAATCCCCACAATGAGGTGTCATGCTCTATCACAAATACCATGGAATGTTTTTCTAGAGCCTTTTATGTTATGTTTGGCTGGTCTACTAACAAACGTCAACATGGATTTATACGTGGATGCAGCACGAAACTGTCATTTATAAATATGATAAACCAAATCTCAAATTATACTGATGAAGGGAGGATGACAAAATTTACTGCATGGTCATCCAGATAATAGCTTTTTATTACCAAATTAGCCTAGCCT